CCCCCCCCCCCCCGAAAAAAAAAGAAAAAAAACTCTTCTAATTATTAAGGCCCTTACATCATAATATACTATAAGTATAATAAGAAACCTTCCAAAACCCTATTCTAATTACTAAGGCCCTTGCATTAGATTCGGGGCTGGAAAGCAGGGACTCTCGGGCAGAGGGCCCCCACTGACATGGTGGCTGAGGGCCTTTTGCGGAGGCTCCATGTTCCCCCCCATAGTTCCTTTTGTTGTGTTCTAAAGAGTCTTCGCCATACACAAAGAGGGCTTAGGGTTTAGAGCCGGGATTTTTTCTGCCTTTGTTTGGAGTTTGTTTTGAAGGTTTTCGCTTGCGCTTGGCTCGCCTCGGCCTCGAGCAGCAGCCGCACCACTTCCAAGTGCCCATCGCGGCAGGACGCCAGGAGCGGGGGCTCGTCGCCTTCGAATTTTATCGGCAAAAATCTTCAGGGCTTCGGAGTTTTGTGCGGGGCTTTTTTGGGGGTTGGGGTTTTACGGTTTTGCTTCGTGCTGTGCCCAAGAAAGAGATAGCAGGAAGCAAGAAACAAGGCAACGTGACTCAAACTGTCCGGTGCTGGTCCAAGTGACCCAAGTCAGGATCTTGAGGCCTCTGCAGCAGGGCCTCTAACTTCGCAAGGTGGCTGTTGGCTGCAGCTGACAAGAGCTCTTGGACTTCAGACTCGGCAGTCGGCAAGAACTCCAGAAGCACAAGCTCTAGGGTCTGTTCAGCCAGCACCTCGAGCTTGGTATCGTCGGGGAGAAGAGTGCCGTCTCTCAGTATCCGCTGCTTAAACCTGGGGCATCCGCAGAAAGAAGACAAGTGCCGCTTCAAAGCGCGCACGCAAGCCATCTCCGGGTGCTCGGACAACTGTAGATTCGCGACTTCCTTGCCCGTGGCCATCATCTGCACGCACAGCATCAAGGAGCAGGCTGCACAAACTGCACCAACTTTGCGAAGCTTTGGGGCATGCTCGGGCCGGGCAGCGGGCGGCAGGGCAAATCAGCAAAGTCCAGCGCCGGACTTCGACGATATTTCTGACACAACTGCTGTTGCTCCTAATTCTCATCATATTGCTGCTGTGTCTGGCTCCCAATGTCACCACTGCCAACACCGGGACAACATGTGTGTGTGTGTATATATATATACACACATGTGATTCTATACCCTCGACATCACAGTTGACGCCCGACCTGCATCTAGGGACGACGACTCAACAAGAGGTAGGGTGCAACAGTCGTACCCCGTAGCCGTCGTAGCAGCACGAGTCGTCATGTTCTCTCCCCCCTCCTCAGAGAGCTCAAGGAATGTACCAAAAAATCATAATATTACGGCCTGTATTTTAAAGGTATATTCCTTAATTTAAGGGAATTTATGCCTTAAATTATAGGGCCCCTAGTATTATGATTGAAGGTATGTATTCCTTATTTTGAGGGGTAATTATTGGGCTCTCTGGGTCTTTCCTCGTCGCCATTCTCGCGGGCGGGTGGCCGGGTTCAGGCTCTGGGCAGCGTTGCACTCGCCACCAAGGTTCCTGGGAGGTTCAGGAACTCAAGCCGGGGCACCCTTATACTATAATAGTAATAGTAGTAATGACAATAATAACAATAACCAATAACAATGATAATAATGATAATAATAATAATACTAATAATAATAATAAGA